ACCACGGTTGTTCGGTTTACGTGGATTGATTCTGTTCCGTTTAGTGGAGACGCTATTGTTTCTAATTTTATTTATTGTTTTTTTTTATAAAAAATAGTTCTTATTTAATATTATACTTCTTTACTGTGTCTATTAAAATATGGAATAGGCAGATATAATGGATTTAATAGCAGATAACTGCAGTAAAGACATTTTATTTTGTTTTTTTAGCTTTCCTCAAAAACCCGTGCGATATGAAAAATTGACAACAATAACGCCAATATTTTCAGTACTTACTTTAGATATATATTCTTTTTATCATTTAACATCTTCTTTATTTGACTTAGGAAGGACTAAGGAGGAAGAAAATAATTAATAAAAAAAAAATAACTATATGCATTAGTTTCATTGATAAATAAATGAACAAACTTATAGAAAAGAATACTATAAGTAATGTGTTTTAATGTGCGTATTTTTTTTTGATAAATTATCATAAAAATATGAAAGAAATATATTTCTTACGAGACATTTCGACTCCAATCCTTCTTTGTCCTAGCGGTGAGCCAAAGTCGTTAAATTTTATTGCTTATTTTTGACACTTTGTAAATTCGACTTAGAAACATGCGCATATGGTTCAATTTCTTATGATTTATGTTTGTCAAGAGCTTCGGTCGCAAAAAATGTTTAGATTTAGTACATCACTTTGTGAAAACAACTTTATGAGTTGCATTTAAGGTTTAATTTACATTAATGCATGTTTATTTCAAGTATAATTACCTAAATACAGTCGGCGACAGTTTTGAAGCGAACTTTATGGGATTTTGTATCTAGTTCTTTATTAGTGATTGATGGTTTATAACTAAATTATGAAGTTATTTAATTAATACAATTTATTTACAGTGTTACAATGATTACGGGGATATAATTAAAGCGACACTGAGCAAGGCCCGCGAGATCAACAAGCTGAACTGTGCGTTGACTATGGAGTTGGCCATGCAGGCTCTGTTCAACGACATGCTGCAGAAGCACGCCGGCACTCCCCCCCATCGCCAGCTGCCGGAGATGCTGGAGCTCAAGGTGAGGCGCGGGGCCTACTGCAGCGCGGCCCCTACTGCAGCGCGGCCCCTACTGCAGAGCGCGGCCCCTACTGCAGAGCGCGGCCCCTACTGCAGCGCGGCCCCTACTGCAGCGCGGCCCCTACTGCAGAGCGCGGCCCCTACTGCAGCGCGGTCTGTTGCAGGAGCTGGCCAAGAGGTTCTCCGTGATGTTCGGGCTGGACGCGGTGAAGAACCGCGAGGCCTTGACGGCGCTGCACCGCGCCGGCATCGCGTTCGCGGCGCTGGAGCAGGCGGGCGGCAGCGGGCCCCCGCCGCGCCTGCTGTTCCTGGAGGCGCTGGCCGAGTTCTCGGGCAAGCTGCTCCGCCAGGACAAGCGCCACGTGCTGCGCTGCCTGGACGCGCGGCTGGGCGGCGCGCTGCCGGGCGCGGGCGCGGGCCGCGCCGACGACTGGGCCGCGCTGCTGGCCTACCGCGGCTCGCTGCTGACCGACGCGCCCGACGACCGTCCGCCGCCCGCGCGCCGCCACTACGCGCGCCGCGTCCGTGCGTACCCGCCATACTTACTCACTCTGTGCCGGACCCTTGCCATCTACAGCCACATGGCGATTCCGATTCGCTTGCTCAATTTTAATTGTTCAATCGTAGTTAGTTTAACGTTTTTAAAATAAATTATCATTGCTTGGCATTGCAGGAGGTCAGAACGAGGATGAAGAGGGCGACGACAACGTGGAGTCTGACCAGGAGCAACCGGGGTGAATGTGACGGACGTACTCTCCGCGTGGCCGCACTCAGTGCGCGCTGCTTAGTTGTACCACATAGTCTTAGTACTGCAGCCCTCCGGGGAGGGGGGGGGGGGGGTGCACTTTGTTAACTCATTCCCCGAACACTAATTTAATATTATATACTTTAAGAAAGAGAGTATTAAAGCAATGCCACCACTGATTATACTACTAAATAAGTATTGATATGCTACTACATAAGTAAATACTACAACCTCGATGTGACACCAACAAACATAATATACAACTAAAGTGGTGGGATCTTGTCAATGTTCTTTTCCTAACATAAAAATGTCCGAACCTAATTGATTTCAAAAAACGATAACTAAAAATTTGCATTTGTTTCTAGTTGATGCAGAATTTGTAATATTGGCTTATCGAATTGTTCCAGTTGTATAATTATAATATATTGTATTTTTATAATAAATTACATTTGTAATATCTCCCTGTTTTATTCCGTCGATACTTCTAATGAGAACAATATTGGCTCATCGCTACAGTGTACTTGGGTATATACGTGTAATTAACTCAAAATGCTGCTATTTTGTAAAAATTAAATAAGGTTGTATCAGGTTCCGATGTGGTACATACATTTATATTTCACATTACAACTTGTTTGTAGAATGTAAACAACGACTCTGCCGGGTATGCGGGTGCAAGCGCCGTTATGTACCGAGAACGGGGTTGTCTTAAGTCAGTTAGAGGCTGCCTCTCGCCTCATCCAGGGCGAGGGAAGTCATTTGATGATATTCGTCCTTAAAGCAAAAAAGTACGACACTACGTCTTGCCTACTTACCCGTTCTTTTTTTACCCTAAGGTGGACTGTAAAGTACTCATGAAGCCCCTCGCCTAAGAAGAATTGCCGTCTTGTCTCTTAGGCTGGCGTGAGAAGGCGAGAATCATAACTTTAGGGATTTTTTTTGCAATTGTCAAACTTCTTGCGGTTAGTTGTAGTATTTAATAAATCAATATTTCGTACCACAAATCACGTTCGCTGCATATGATCACCTTAAATATTTAATTTATTTTTTGGAATAGTGGCAACAAAAACAACACCTGTCCATAATTATTTAGTGTCTAGTTATCACAGTTCATTACATTGAGTCTAGTGGCAGACGACTAACCGAGTCACAGTCGGTCAGTCAGATAACCCGTTTTTGCCTTACGGAATTCTAAAATAATGTAAAAAAATTAGTTAAGCTACTCGACGCTAGAGGGCGCTGTCAAAATAAATTTCAATACATTCTAGCTACAAATTATATTTTGATAATCTATATCTAGAGATTTATAAACCATGTACCTAAACAAATATTTTTTGTCCGTAATTAATTCGTATGGGTACTTGTATTGAGAAACTTCGCGAAAATAATTTTAATACGAGTAACTGTTTCCACGAACTGTTTCCTTAGTGTCATTCCTTTAAAAATGTAGAGATGGAGACACTGTCGACTATACAGCTCAAGCGACCTGCGACACATGCTTCACCACCGCTACACAAGATTATTTACTCGACGTGAATATTGTGTTACGCCTAATTATTTCATTAACGTCGTCTATACCATGTGGCTTCATTATTTTATTTTAGGAAACAAAATATAAAATTAGAATATGTAATATTCCGTTTTTGGAATTTCCTGTGCTGTTTTTAAGTATTTCCTAAGTTCCTTGTCTTATAGAGTTGTGTTATTTTTTTTTCTAAAATTTAGGTACCTAATACATAAAAACATATACCGGAGAACTTTATGCTTTAGGAATTGTCTAGCGGTAAACCGGAGGGTGGTGCGAGTGCTTGAGTCGTTAACTGGTTAAATATATAAAAAGATAAATTTTAATTTAATGTATAAACAGCTGATAACAGAGAGACCGACACAGCCGGGCCAATAAGGCTGATGTTACGTTATTGGTACGCTATTAGAGACAAAAGTACTTACAGTGGGTTCAAAAATGGTAATGCCTTTGTAAGATAAATATAAATTCACTTTAGCGTGCATTCAGCAACAAAAATATCTGTTCAATTTGATATCTACTAATAGAGAGTTACCGAACGTTCATTTCAATAATAATAAGTGCTTATTATGTATTTAAATATTACAATAAATTAATTACTCATTGCAGTTTAAATTTAGCTGTCCTCTGCGTTGCGGTGTCTCGACTAAAACGAGGAACGTATCCGTATCGCTTCCGGGAATCGCTTATACGGCCCCGAGTCGCAGGGTTTATATAGACATCCTATTACATTTGCAAACGGAAATACATATTATTAACACGGTAAAATATACCTCTCATATGGTGGGAAGACGGACAGTCCAAGCGTGAAGTGAGGTGGTGTACGTGAGCGTTTGACTGCACGGCTGGCGCGGTGGCTGGGCCACTGTCTGTCGCGCAACGTGTGGCTCGTTCGATTCCTGCACGGAACAACTCTTTGTGTGATTCAGAATTTGTTTTTTTGGGTCTGGGTGTGATGTGTATGTGAAATTGTATGTTTGTAAAGTCACCCACGACACAGGAGAAAACACTGAGGTAGGCCAACGATTTTTTAAAGAAAATTTACAATGCTACACCTGTGAGGTAGTTGACTGTGAAGCGGCCAGTGATACTAGTCCTGTGTGTGTTTACAAGAGGTGCTGGGTGTCGCTATATCGTCGGAGTGTGTAGTGGGTGAGTTATCGGCGGGAGGCGCACGGGGCGGCGCGTGCGCAGGCCCCGCCTGGCCGCGGCCGCGCCCCGCGCTTCCTCTGCACTCTCACTGACGTACTACGTAAGAACTAGTGTTGAGTCTTGTGGCACTGCCTGCCTGCACAGCTGCAGTCTACGAGTTACATTCCATCACTTATTAATTTGTTTGGCATTTCTAAGCAGTAGGTGCGTATTGAATATTTTTTTTATGATTGATTAATAAGTATTTGAACACCAAGCCAACTCCAATTCGTCGTGAGACTGTAAGTGTTGGTCTGCAGCAGTGGCCAGGGGCCGGAGTAACCTACCTACATACACAACATTATTTGGACGTGAAGGTGGTTAGGTACGTGTTTGGGCTCGTACTGGTATTTACTTACCTCAATTTGACTTAATACAAACAAATGAATCTTATATTAAAATTATTTATTAAAAATATCACATAATATTACAGTTAGTACCTGCAGTAATGAACACAATTCTATTACCTGCCACCCGCAGGAACCTACCAAACTACTACCTACACAAACTACAGAACACACTTCAATAATGTAGCAACTAGCAATATAAGAAACGTTTTGAATAATATAGTCATAATAGTGGAAATACAAACGAAATTGTTATTACACATGTAAATACACGTTGTGAAAGCCGTGGAGCTTACAAAACAAGCATTTTTACAAATGAGATATATAATTAGTTGTTGTAGATGCAGGTAGAAACACAAATAGTGGAAATAATAAAATAAATTACAATATTTTCTATTTACTATCACCGTGAGCTGATCCGCCACTCAACTAGGAACCTAAGCAGACTATGCTATATTTACATCCGCTTTATACTTTAGCCATTTTATGAATTAGTCAACATAAACAATAACTAGAACGGTTACGTCACAACGCAACTCTACCCTGTGCAATGAGATCTGCCGTCGTGATGCACAACAAACACTTGGAACACCAGTTACCTTTGTAAGTCTGTCTGTCTGTCTGTCACTCGGCGGCGGTGCTGACGCTGTGCCGGATGCAGGAGCAGCCGACTGGCACGTTGATGACGTAGGGGCGGAACGTCTTCGCTTTCATCACCAGCACGGAGTCCTGCACCTCCGTGCACGAGAACTGCGCGCCGCTGGCCAGCGGGAAGGCGCCGCAGCAGCGCATGCTCTTGCCCTTGGCGGCCGGACACATCTCGTACGGGTCCGCGGCGCACTTGATGACTTTGATCGTTCTCGGGATTCTGTCTCCGTCTTCGTCTTTTTCCACTACTGTCCTGCACACGGCTTTGTTCACTGCTATCGGTAGCGACATGCCGCTAGGCTTGGCCGACACTAGAGTAGCGGCCAGGGCCAGCGCCGCTGCGATCATATAATTCCGGAACGACATGTTCTTTGAGGAAAATGAGTCGGGCTCGTGCTCGTCGCCTGAGATAACTCGTGAAATGTTGCGGTGAGCTACTCGTGCGCAGTTATATACTGGCCGGGCTGACATCACTGCCACCTCTCCCGTGCGTACCTACGTTTCCAACATCAGAAATTCCAATTTGCGAATGTGTAAAATGTTACGGAAAAATATGTAGATACCTATCTAATATACAATTTAATATAACTTTAGAAGTAGATAGGTATCTATCTACATATATTTGATACATATTTTTGTACGGAATTATCTAAGTAAGTACCTATATAACATGCATCACATCAGATATATGTAGGGACAAATCAAAAACTTGGCTGTAGTGGATAAAATCAAAGTCAAATTTATTTGGATTAAAGTAATATTAGGAAATTTAGTTGTAAAAAGTTAAAACGTGTCTTGATTTTTTAAGGGTCAGTCATCTAATGATTCCTCACGCCCTGGGTAAGGCAAAAGCAGGTGTACACTCCTAGGTATACGTAGACATCTTATAATAAAAAATCACCGTGTCATGGCTCCTAAACCGGGCCGGGACCGTACGTTCTTCCTTCCGCAACCCGGGCTGGTCATCGGCCGTAGTGGGCTCCATGCCGGCTGAGCTCTTGGAGGTGTGCACGGATCGCAACGAGCTACCCATGTCCGTTGACCTGAGCTTACGTTGGCCGGAGATCATGGCGGATTTTCCCCTATTGTCTTTTGCAGCCAATATGGCATGAGCATGATAGTTCCCTCACGCACTTCGCCTTTTCCATTGCGAGAATGACTGTTCGCAGAAGGAGGAGATGGCTTCCCAGTTCTTCTCGTTCCGCACCATAGCCTCGACGAGAGCCGAGCGATCGCTGCCCTTAGGACATGGCGGTGCTCAGCCCAAGTAGGGCACATCGTAACACCTAAGCTCCAGCGTGTCCTCCGGTGGTTCTCGCAGGATGTTAAAATGTGTCTGTCTGTCGGTCAGTCGTCTGGTCAAGGTATTTGCACGTTCCAAAGTGTAATTAATGTTGTATTGTCTATGATTAGTATTACTAATCAGTGTTGCACTATTATTGTCTATGTCTTCATATCACTATAAAGAGGGTGGCCGAGCAAGTGTCGGCCATTGACAATGTAACTCTGGTGCAGTGAGCTGCAGGACTGTGTACTACCTAATTAAAGTCCAGTATCCAAGATCCAAGTCTTTCAATCATATTACATGGTGTCAGAAGTGAAAAGAACAATTTATTTCACGTAAGTCGGTCACAAAAATGGACCAGTCGAGTTCCGAGCCATGCGGCGTGGGCGACCAAGATGGCGTCCAAGGTCTCAACACGAGGATGAAATCATTAAATATTTCGTCGGATTCCACAAATAATAATGCGGAAGCGTGGAAACGGTGGTCGCAGCAACTGGACCTATATCTACTCGCCACGGGTTTAGACAGGGCACCCGAGAAGAGAAAAATACCCATACTGCTGCATCTTATAGGTGAGAAAGGCCTAAACATTTATAATACATTTAACCTCAACATCGACAAGACCACGCTTGCCGAAGTGAAGCAGAAATTCAATAATTTTTTTGAGCCCCGGAGGAACATAACCATGTGTCGTCACATGTTCTTCACGAGGAGGCAGAAGCAATCCGAGTCCATCGAAGGATTCCTGGCAGACCTGGAAAATAAGAGCCAGGATTGTGAATTCGGAACGCTCAAGGAGTCCCTCATCAGGGATATTTTCATTGCCAATCTGCACATGGACCTGGCACATGTCCGTCAGAGATTGCTTCAGGAGCCTGATCTGACATATCAAAGGATGCGCGAACTGGCGAGAACATTAATCGTCGCACAGCAAGATGCTGAGAAAATCGTCGGTTCCAGCGAGAAACAGGAAAATGTAATGCATCTACGTCGGAGGAGCCGTAGTCGAGGAGATCGTCGACAGCGAGCTTCACCAGTCGGTCGGCAGGGTCCTGGTACGAGGCAGTCTCCCAACCCTGAAAGGCGCACGAGGCCGTGTAGCCGCTGTGGGCAGTCTCATCGATACAAGTGCCCAGCGCAGGGAGTCCAATGCAGGTCATGTAATTCATTTGGTCATTTCGCTAAATTTTGCTTTAAAAATAAAAATGTAAGTCGTTTAGAGTCGTTTAATTCAAATAGTAACAGTAGTCAGGATCATTATTTCATTGGAACATTAAACAGTCATTGTCAAAGCCATATAAAGTCAAATAAAAGTACAAAGTATAGTCACTATAATGTTAGGTCAAATAAAAAGTCAGCCAGTACACAGACACATTGTCAATCTGAGAAAATCATTCTCATGTCAAATTTCTGTGATGATAGTGGTGATAATGTCATGTCTAAGAGGTCTAAAAAGAACCTCGGTGATGAAAACAGTCACCAGTCTGAGAAATATAATCTCATGTCATATGGTCACAATTTAAACAAATGTTGTGATAGTCAAAGTGTGTATCTCAATGATGAGTACAGACACATGTCTGAGGAATCACCTCACACGCTCACACCACCACATCAAAGTCATCAGTCATTGAACAACATTAATACAGTTCAATCAGAACCTAACATTAACAAAAGTAAACAGTCCTGGAATATTAATTTAAAAGTAGGTAATTTAAAATTTAATTGCATCATAGATTCAGGAGCTGATTTAAACATTATGTCGAAGCAAACTTTTAATTATTTAAAACATAAACTTAAACAGTTGTCAATTGTCAAAAGTCATATAAATGTCACAGGATTTAGTGGCAAATCAATACCCATTATGGGAAAGGTCAATATTAAATGCAATTTAATATTAAATAATAACAATGTCAGTGAGAACATAGTGTTCATAGTCGCAAATTTAGAGTGTCCCAATGTCTTAGGTCTTCCTACATGTGAAAGGTTAGGAATAATTAAAAGAGTTTTTTCAGTGTCTAAACAAAATTTTTGTCAACAAATTCTAACAAAATACAATGATGTCTTCCAGGGTCTTGGCTGTCTACCTCCTGTCTGTCACCTGAAACTCAAACCTGATGCAGTACCATGTGTGGATCCTCCCAGGAGAGTACCATTTGCGTTACTTGGAAAGCTACGCGAGGAGTTGGATCGCATGGAGAGCATGAAAGTCATAGAAAAAGTCACTAAGCCTACAGAGTGGGTGAATAGTATAGTTATAACTGTAAAAAGTTCAGGTCAGTTACGAATTTGTTTAGATCCTAGAAATTTAAATAAAAATATCATAAGGGAAATATATCCACTTAAGTCAATTGATGAGATAAGATCTCAACTAGTTGGAGCTGTCTGTTTTTCTCATTTAGATGCATTTTCGGGTTTTTGGATGTTAAAATTAGATGAATATAGTTCTAAATTATGTACTTTTCAAACACCATTTGGTAGATATAAATATTTAAGGTTACCTTTTGGAATAAATGCATCATCAGAAATATTTCAAAGAGTTATGATGAATTTGTTTGGTGATTTGGAAGGAGTCTTAATATTCATTGATGACATTCTAGTCTATGGCCCAAATGAGTCTGTACATAATGAGAGATTACATAAAGTCATGCAAAGAGCACGTCAAGTTAATTTAAAATTTAACAAATCTAAATGTAAATTTCTAGTGTCTGAAGTCTGTTTCCTAGGTTATATCTTTAGTAAAGATGGTGCAAGGGTTGACCAAGAGAAAGTTAAAGCAATTGTCAATATGCCTACACCAAAAAATGTCAAAGAATTACAAAGAATATTAGGTATGATCAATTATTTAGGTCCCTTTATTAGTAATTTGTCAGAAAAAACTCAAATTTTAAGAAATCTTTTGAAAAAGGATTCTGTCTGGTCTTGGGATGAGAATCACAATAAATGTCTTAAGGGTTTAATAGATGAAATCACAAAGTCACCTGTCTTAGCTCACTATAACCCCAACATTCCATTAGTCTTGTCAGTAGATTCGTCTAAATCAGCATTGGGAGCAGTCATTTTACAAAATAATAAACCCATTGCTTATAGTTCTAAAACTTTAACCACAACCCAGTCAAGGTATGCTCAAATAGAGAAAGAATTGCTTGCAATTCAATTTGGTTGTGAAAAATTTCACCAGTATGTATATGGTCACAGAGTTACAGTTCACACAGATCACAAACCTTTAGTCTACCTGTTTGATAAACCATTACATGATGTACCAGCTAGGTTACAGCGAATGATGTTAACTTTGCAAAAGTATGATTTGAAAGTTATACATGTCCCAGGTAAACAAATGTTCATATCTGATACTTTGTCGAGAGCAGCCTTAAAAGATCATTATATTCCAGAGAATGAGTCTGAAATAACCTGTCATGTCAATTTAATGCATTCAAATTTAGCAATTACTAAGGATTACAGTACAAAATTGTCACAACAAACTAATAAAGATGAAAGTTTGCAATTGTTAAAGAAATATTATTATGAAGGATGGCCAAAAAGTAAAAACAAAGTTAGTCAATTAGTGAAACCATATTGGAATGTACAAGCTGAAATACATGTAGTAAAGGATTTGTTATTTAAAGGATCAAAATTAATAGTACCACAGTCTATGTATAAAGAAATGTTGGATAAAATTCATGAAGGTCACCAAGGAATAAATAAATGTCTTAAATTAGCTAGAGATTCTTTATATTGGCCAAACATGTCAGTTGATATTAAAAATTTAGTAGAACAATGTCTTATATGTACAAAATTTAAACCTGCTAACCAAAAAGAGCCATTACAAAATTTTGAAATTAACAAATATCCATGGCAACAAGTTGGTATTGATTTAATGTACTTTGATGGTCTTTCTTATTTAATTGTTACAGATTACTATTCTAAATACATAGAAATAGCTTTGTTAAATAAGAATAGTACAGCCAAAAATGTAATTACACATTTAAAGTCGATTTTTGCCCGTCATGGTATACCTTTGTCATTAGTGTCTGACGGTGGACCTCCTTTCCAATCTTTAGAATTTAAAAATTTCTTACATGAATGGGACATAGAACATGTTGTTACTAGTCCATATCATGCACAGTCCAATGGTCAAGCTGAAAGTTCAGTTAAAATTGTCAAAAATATGCTGAAAAAATGCAAAGAAAATTCGTCTGATCCTTATATAGCTTTGTTGCAATATAGAAACACACCTAAGAATAATTTACCGTCCCCAGCTCAACTCTTAATGTCTAGGAATTTAAGAGACAATGTCCCTAAGTCGTATAAGAAATTAAAACCAAAGGTAGTAACATTTAAAGATTACAAAGAATGTGTAACTAAGAATAATGATTGTAAGTCTAAATATTATAATAGAAGTGCTAAGCCTTTACCATTGTTATATCCCAATGATCATGTCTACTTCAAAAGACAACCTAGTTGTAATTGGGAACAGGCTATTGTCAAGCAAAGGCTGGCAAATAATAGGTCATATGTCGTTGAGGATGTCAATGGAGTTAGGTATAGGAGAAATAGGATTCACTTAAGGCATAAGTTCTCTCCTATGCTATCCAACTCATCGTCGTCGTCGTCTTTGTCATCGCAAGGGAGAGAGGATGGTGACAGTCAGAAGGCTGGACCTCAAGAACTCTCATCTCGATCCTCAAGTAGTCAATTTGTTACACGTTCAGGTCGTATTGTAAAGCCCACAAGAAGGCTAATAGAAGAAATAGATTAAGATAAGAAATATATTTTGTAATCTTATATGTTGTAAATTAAGTACCTAGTCAAGTTATATAAGTATAAGTCGTTTATAATATTGTCAAGTTGTCATAGTGATAAGTCTGTTTTGTAAAGGGTTAATTTAAACTTAACAAGGGGGATGTTGTATTGTCTATGATTAGTATTACTAATCAGTGTTGCACTATTATTGTCTATGTCTTCATATCACTATAAAGAGGGTGGCCGAGCAAGTGTCGGCCATTGACAATGTAACTCTGGTGCAGTGAGCTGCAGGACTGTGTACTACCTAATTAAAGTCCAGTATCCAAGATCCAAGTCTTTCAATCATATTACAATTAAGACTGTTTATGAATTAAATTAGTCATCATACTTCTGTACATGTAATGATTGATTGTAAAATGATGTACAGAGCATGTAGTGCGACGTGTAGCCTGGCGTGGCCCCGGGGGCGCTCGGGGCGCCTAGCAACGCCGCGCCCGCTGATTGGGGAATCTTTGAAAAATATCAGTAAATCATTGTGGAGGTTACTCCGCCAGACTGTTTGTACACGCCGGGATAATGGGACCTAACGAATGAACGATTACGAACAAACTACCAATAATTTCCTCACAACGGTTATACTTTATTTATTATGTCCTAATTCTTATTTATGAATATTATTTGAGCTAATATTAATTAATCATACGTTTGTAATCTCGAGCAGCGACTCTATAAAGTAATCTTGTTTATTTCTGAATGTCAACATGCTCATATTTATTATACTACAGAGTTTCTTATTATATATTATTATAATAAGATATCCGTTAGTATTCACAGGTATTAATATTATATATATATATATATAAATAAATAAATGTATTGTCCTATTAGGTACTAGATTTAAATTTCGCGTATAATATTCGTAGCTATATAATTTAGGTTTATTTATTTATTTATCCATTTATTTCAGGCAGCCAAGGCCCATATATATACACAAATACAATACTATGTTTCATATACAACTTAAAAATACTATAAATACAAATATTACATAATAACTAAAACTACTAAACTAAAAGTGTAATTATTATCCTGCTCGCAGTCAGTTACCTACATGTTGCTGTGGAGTATGTTCAATACGTTTACGTACCTACAAGTGGGACGTTGACCTGGTGATCATTGTCCCTCGGGTCTTGTAGTGGCGTGCTCATCCCTGCCATCGAACATGGTAGACAGGGACTGCTCGTCTCCGTATACTCCATCTTTCATAACATGGATGGGTCATGTCGTACAACCACCGTCACGACAATGTACATAGATGTCTCCAGTAGGTTTAGATTGAGAGCTACATTATACCGGCGTTAGAAGCACAATACCCTACTGTTTACGTTGAACTTCTGTAAAAAAAATTCTGATTAGTAGATGTCTTGCTATGAGAAAACAATGTGTACATTTCTGTACCCCACAGGTGACGCGAGGGATCGCTGGACCTAAGGATTGTGCACCAAAGGATAACTCACAGCGTGACAGCTAGGGAAACCCTGCGAGGTGCTTTAGGAAAGTTCTGGAATTAATTTATTTAATGAACACATTACCCACGTCTATCCTCACAGTCCAAATTAGACTTATCAATACTAATTACACATACACAAAAGTAATAACCAGAACTAATTAATTGTATTTATAAAAATACTAGGTCTTAACCTCGGCGTCGCTCCCGTCATTTGACTACCTACCCCAGTCTACCTACCCTAGTATACCTACCCTAGTTTACCTACCCTACTCTACCTTCCCTACTCTACCTAACCTACACTACCTAGTCTATCCTATCCTTCCCTCTCCTGGCTCTAAACTACCTCCCTGCCAATTTTCAGCAAAATCGGTTCACCCGTTCTTGAGTTATAAGTGGAGTAACAAACACGACTTTCTTTTATATACATATACTTAGGAATCAAAATAAATACAAGACATTTATTTTTCTGGTTAATTTCTTATTTAAGTTACTTTAACTAAATATTAGTGTAACATTATTCTCGCATAACAGTAGCAATTAAATTAAAAGAAATACAAATGTAGTAAATCAGTCAAAACTGATTGAAAAAGTAACCATGGAGCTCGTTCATCTCCATCGGCATCTACACTTTGAAAGGAGTAAATAGCTTCACTTGAGGACTGACACTTGCTATCTTTATGCTTTGTTTGAAGTTCAAAAGTGCCTACTTTTCTCGACTTTTCTTTTAGTGCTCAAACAAAGCGTCTATTTGAAATAAATGACTTTTGACTTTCATTCAGCAACCTTTTCTGTAGTCAACGTAAATACGTTAATTGTAAGTACCCAGTTAAATATAACTAGAGGCCCGGCCCTCCCTCGCACGTGTGTCCGACTACAACTATTTATTCCCGATTTTCCCGTCTACTATTCTAAAGTTTCCTTTTAAAAACCTTCCCCTGACCTTCAAAAATACAGCATAAATAGATATATCAGAATCATCACGCGCCATGCTAAGGGAAATCGGGGTGCCATTTTTATATATACCTATTGATGACTTTTGCTTGATAACTGCTGAATCAAACTATTAATTTAAAATAATTAATTTATGACCAACCTTTAATGTGTACCTATATAAAATTATTCAATGTTATAATGTGGGAATTAATATAATTTGTTGTGCCTGTACTCTGTTGGTATTGTAGTAGATGGTTACATAATGCAGGTGCAGGCAGCTAACTAGTATTTGTCTCCCAGTTTAGGAGCATACATGTGGCAGGTAAGTAAAGTGAGCAAAGTTAAAGTGAACGTTCGAGCGGTGCCGCGGAGCCGCCGTGGTCGCGTGTGCCGGCTGACTCACCGCACACTTACTCATCGGCGCCGAGACTCCTCAGACCTCAGAGGACTCTCGTTATACAGACTCTTACATTCTCATATACTTTCCAGACATTTATTATACATGTAATACCGGTGTATTTTATACGTAACCGAGGAATCAGGCTACAGTTCCACTGTGTCCCCATGCTGCAGCATCTGGTGGCCTACCCGCGGCTCCGTCACTTCATCTTAGCAACAGTAATATTTCCAGCAATGTATTAAAATACACTTCGGCACTAAATATATTGAGTGATTAGATATGTTGAGATTATGACGAAGTGTTACAGTTATCGGCGTAAACTGAAAATGTATCCATTAATACGAATAGGCATTTATTTACGAATGTAGATAATGAGTGCAGTGAAAATAATTATAACATTACAGCCCCGTGTCGTCAATGATTAGTGTTACACTCGTGTCGGTTATGTAACTATTATTATTATTTAAGAATGCAGCTTCAACTTAAGCACAACTTTAGTATTTTATCATGGGTTATATTCAGAATAGCAAGAGCTAATTGTGCGTCTGTACTACTCATTTAGTTTAGTTATAAAATACGTATGATAAGTGTTGAAGTATTACGTAGATAGATATAACCATTCAATGTTTATATATTTATCTGTATGTTAGATACAGGCGGGTGCATCGTGCCCCGTGGGGTTGACGGTACAGCAGGGAGATAGTTACAAGAAAACCACACATTTATAAAAAAACATATTTTAATCAACATTTGTCGAGACCAGCTCGGATATATCTGTTTACATAGTTGCGCCTGCGCATATTTGGTAAACTTTACAATAAAACTATATCCTTAAAGCTAAGAGTTTTCACAGACTTTTCAACATTAAATAGCTACTTACTTGTCTAAACTAGCAGAGTACACTAGCGGCTTCCGGCGGGCCGTTCACAACCATAAATAAATAATAAATTAACTGCGAGCATTACTGGTCCATCTTCAGTGTGAAACACTCACGAAATAAATTATTGGAATGGTGCGGAATGCATAGGAACTTGTGTGTGCCCGGTCGCGGGCGTCGCGGAGGCGGAAGGCTCACGACACCTCCGCGGCCGCCGTCGTCTCCTCGATGAGGCAGGTGCAGCCCACCGGCACCTTGATGGCCTGCGCCGTGTCCTGGCCCTTGAACGTGACCTGCACCCAGTCGTAGATCTCCACGCACTCGGTGACGAAGGCGTGGTGATGCTGGCGGCAGCAGCCGTGCGAGATGTGGTGCTCGCTGCATAGTTTGTTGGGCCGCGCCGCGCACTTCAGGTACTTGATGCGGCTGGGGATCCGGTCCGGGTTGTAGTTGATCTCCACCTCGATGGGGCACATCGTCTTGTTGGCTACGTCCGACAGTACGAACTCTTTCTGCGGTCTGGCCAGCACGTAGGCGGCCGCCAGAACTACAGACGCTGCGATAAACAGATATCTTTCGTGCGACATGGTCTGCGTGTTAGCTGATTGGAGTGAGTCGAGTGGTAACGTGCGCTCTCGGAAAGGCTGAGTTGCGAATAGTAGGTGTGGTATAAGACGTCGACTTATATCCGAGCACCCTTCTCTGCGGCGGGCGGGCCGCCGGCGGCGCGGCCAGCCGTCACACGCGCTCAGACGCGGCCCGGCAGCGCGCGCGTTCGCTGCCTCGCCCGGCGCGCGGTTGTACTTTGCTGCGTATCTCACTTGTTGCACTTCAACGTGTTTGTAAAACTGTGCTGTGAAGTGAATCTATGTTCGGTTACAAAGTTGGACTGTAGTGACACATTCGGGACTGTAAGATATCGTAATATGCTCTGTGTGATGTTTGGACAATTTGTGTCGGACCAGTTATATGTTATCTTCATGTACATTGATATACATTTTATTTGTTACGTGGCGACCGATAGAGTGATAACAAGGCACAAAACTCCGGGCATCGGGTGATAGCTGCAGGTGCGCCATTCGAAGTGCGACGTCTGTACTTAGGCTAAGATTAATGTGAAATGTTTAATGTCTGTCCTGTCCATTTGTCTATGTTCAATTTTGAAAATCCACCAATTACAGTTAGAGTGTGCCCGCGGGCGGCGGTTTGCGAAATGATTTATATTTAACATGAGTCGTGGCCTAGGTAAAGTAAAGGTGTGTGAGGCGAGTATAGAATAAAATACTTTATTTATTTCTGGATCGGTCGCACATAGTCTGTTTTACTTAATGCATGTGAATCATGTCCAGGAGTAGATCGCATCAACATAACTCTACTCCATTATTCGTACGAGCGAGTGGCTTATAGTGGCGTATAATACATTGAGCTCAGTACCTAGTAACACGAAGACGTACGGGATAAAAGTGGCCGGCAGTAGATTACTTCCGACTGACCGGACATGACACCTATAGTATTTAATGTAACCGTGGAGCCACGTCGGGCGTGTACTCGCAGTCACTATACTTACAAGCGCGTGCCTGCAGTATTCTTCCTCAGCTCACGTTCAGCTCTTGTCACAATAAAGTAAAAGGTCAATGACCTTGTGTAGTTATCTAACACTACGTTGTTGTTGTTTGTCCCAACAGACGCATGTCCAGAACTTTTGTAGATAGCGATTGTAAGCCTTCAAAGTATACTCGCTAGTTACTTTATGATGTAACCGGCGCCGGCGCGTACTCGGCCTGTAATCAGTGGAGCATTCGCTGGTGTGCGAGAGAGACGGCACCACGCGCGGTGGTTGCCCTGCTCACACAGTGTCATACCTCACGCAGCTCCTGAACACAATACTTAGTACATACACAGAAACTAGTTGCGTAGTCATTTACTATGCTCTTAGCTAGACTGCTTTGTTTTTCTATCGCTTTGATTGTTTGATGACATATCCGAACAGAACGTAAGTCAAAAATACCCCGTATGTTCTAGCTAGATTTACTAGAGAGTAATTTATGATGGATAAAAACTATATGAAGGATTATACTCTCTAAGTATAAAGTAAATATCCCGTAGAAATGTACACAAAGTAAAGAGAAAGTTCGAAAGAAAAGTTTTGAAACGTAGTTTCTCGTAGCGCGGCTACACAGACCGCTACGCCGTACTCACGGCTCCGTAGACGCTGCTACGGGAACAACTAAAATGAATATAAAACGAGCTAGTAGAAGATAGTAATTAAGTGTTACTATTGTATTTTATGTATGACATTAAATGTATTATAAATACTCGAGCGTAGGCAGCGCGGACGGTAGTGCCATTCAAGTATTCGTGCGTGGGTAAATATGTCGGCGTATGTTGACAACCACTCGTACAGTTTGGTGGCGGCCGTCGCTGTCTGCTGTTGACTCTGCGCAGGAGTAAGGTCAAGGCGCCGCCGCGTGGAGCAGTAGCGCTCGTGTATTGTCTTTGAGCAGTTTCCTGTAGTTATCGGGTGTAATTGTGTAATTAGCAATAACTAATTGTTTTCCCGTTCAGCGTAGTTATTGAACGTCGGGAGGTTCCTCACGGGAACACGAGCTCGGTCGTAGTATTTACTTATTTCATTCATAATAAAGTAGAGTACAAGTAGCGCGCGTTATTTTTATGAGTCACGTTTTGTTTTGTTGTATATTCATTCCGTTTTCGTCAATTGTATTTGTAGTTCGAGCCTTAGTAATACATAAAGCGAGTGTGGAAAACTGCTTGAAGTTTGCCAGTACGTTCATAAACAATTTGAATTGTAACTGGAGACCAATGATGTTGCTGTAACTATAGTAATACGGGAATTTATTTATACCACGTAACTATTCGATGGTCTCGTTTGTACTGCCATTAAGTATTTATGTAGATAGGTATTTTATTCAACTTTTATGTTACAAAGCTTACGAGCTTTCTGATTATAAAACGGTAAAATAAATAGTATGTAGTCGCCGTTGTAAATTTAGGCTTCACATAGGGAGTTATCACAGGTTTATATTGACGAGAGTCGACCGCGGGACCACTATTTTACTTTTCAGCCGACACACGGTGGCATAAACTCGATAATCCCGGAGACCTAATAAAAGTAGCTCACTCTGTTGACGATAGAATTGACTACATACAACGTCGTGATTAATAAAGAATACTCAATCAATACAATATTAGCAGACTCGTTTATCGAAATAATTGACAATAAGAAACGTAGAGTAATGCAGTGAGATATACAATTGGTATTTGTTATTGAAATACAGTAGAATACACATACAATATGCCCAGTGATAATGTAGATGTCATTAAGGTCTAATAGTGTAATAGAAAAATATGACATTGTATAAAGAAGTGGTAAAGCCCCGCGCTCAGCCGGCGTGGCGGCCGGCGACGTTGTTATCAGCGCCTGCGATGCACCTGTAATTACGTTTACCTCGCACGCCCTGCATTTTCATGTTATTGCACAATTACATGACGTAACACAATAAACACTAGGTTAGGAACAACTTTACACTTAATTCTTGACTGCGATACTAATAAATTTGGTGTGATTAAATATACATTAGGTAGGTATTATGTAAAACAAAATCCAATATTTGTTGTACTGCACTGCGTCCGATATATAATTATCTGCATATTTTGTAAACACAATTATTATATATAGAAAATTATGTTAACTTTATTTTTTATATCTATAGGTATAGATATGACTATAGATATTAAGGTTTTTGATTGCTTACATTGAGTCGGGTAGGTACATTGAGCTATATTACTCTAGTATCTATACTTCTATACTAATATTATAAAGAGGTAAAATTTGTGAGTTTGTATGTAGGGGGTAATCTTTGAGACCACTGGTCGGATTCCTAAAATTCTTTCACTTATTGATAGCTGCAATGCTCCCTAGTGATATAAAATATCTCGCTACAATCAAATGGAGACGAGCAGCGAGTGAAATCGCACGGGAGTAGCTAGTGTTTGAATAATTGAACTAATAAATTGAACTAAAAATGGCGTTACTATTAGATATAATATTTTGAGGGTAGACATAATATATATTTTACCTTACCTTGCATATGCCTAAATTACCTAAATCTTTTTTCATCATTATCATGATAGGAAATGCGCATTATACGTTGCTGACCGACCGTATCCGCTGTTATGAATTTGGGGGTGGCACGGAATCATTATAGGTAAACACATTTTTAAATAAATATAAAGCGTGATAAAAAAACAATAAATGCATATGTTTTTCCAAGAAGGAAGATTTATACGTATGTACAAACAGAATACAAGTTAGGTTTTAAAAAATATTCAATTATAGTTTGTACACGAATAAATTTGCGTTTAATTACAGATTTTCATATCAAGTAATAGGAATAGATGTAACTGCAGCTGGAGTCCGCTACCTTTAGGTTTTCCTGCTCGGCTCCATACAATATGTCCCAAGTTACGTTTCCAGTGTCACGTCACCTCGCGTTTATCTAAATATGCATGTCGTTCCACTAAAATTCCCATGGCTTACATGATGCTACTCAGCTTGTGGTTTCCAAAGTTTCCTCCAAAAATGAAAACACCTACATCATATAAATAAATATGATAAATATGAAATATTATAAATGTGAAAGTTACGATGATTGAATGTTTGTTATCGCGCTAAAAAGGCTGGAAGGACCTAGAGGAAATTTGCCACAGGCATAAAATACACTACGGAATAGGACATAGGCATCAACATGCCACGCGAGCGAAGCCGCGGGCGGAAGATAGTATGAAATATATTTTATCAAGAGTGAGAGCTTTATTTGTTTATTGGATTACCATCAATTGCAAGCATGTTACGATTTTTACTGTTAACCAATTATAGACGACATTTTCATTCACTTATTGCCTAGATAGGTATTTAATTGAGATAGTACTCATACATGCTACCGACATATGTTTTATTACACTCGATAAGTTTTTTGTCTTACCTAGCCAAACGGCAAAAACAGAAGACATATTTTATCATGTCTGTCATTTTTTCCGAAACTCACCTTCAAAACTGTATAACTTCTGTTGAATCTTAGTAAGTATAAGTATTCTGTAAATTGCACTAAGATTGTCACACAAAACTACTAAGAACATATGCTACCATTATTTTCATTAAAACTAAGTTTTAGTTACGGATATAACTCAACAAATTATAATGAGGTTATGAATATATTTGATTAGAATAATTAGCGTCTAATGTACTAAAATGTTTCGTGTATAGTGTAACTTTTTTTAAATTAAGAGATTGATACCTAGAACTAAAATATATGTTTTTAATATATATGTGTAAGTAATATAAATAATTTGCTTTGATCGTTAGAACCAATTAGAGCTAGTTAGTAGTTTTGTTAAACATAAAAAATCTAAATTTAGTTTCTTGTTAATATCAGTTTTACAGATGTTATGTGAACGTTATATGTACAACTACATATTGTGTAAATATTTGATAACAATATCGTGCTATATTCCTTATGTGCTTATGTTTATTTACTGTTAATTTAGTTCTATGTAAAATCCAACGTGATATGTAAAAATATGTAAATTACCTACTATGATGTGTCTGTAAAATTTCTTTGACAATAAACGATTTTTATAAAATATCAATTTAAGTTATATTTGCTTCCCTAGATAAATATTTGATAGAACCTGACACTCTACAGTACAGTGTACGATAACATGCCGATAACTTGATATGATACAATATTATCATAATTGATAGTTTATCAACTAAATAATGTAGGTGTGAGATAAATAAACACAGACGTAGGTATCACTCATTGTTCGTTATTTCAATCTAAAATATCAATAATTGATACACAAATTGTACTTCTGAAAACGACTAAACGTCTCCACAGGCTAAGACGCTATGTTAAAAACAATAACTTGTAAGAATTTGGCCGAACATATCGTAGGTATTCAAAATATTGTCAGAATAAAGAATAAGGATTACAAAATAGCCTGAGAATATTATTATTGAAGAACAATGATCGTATTACTGGTATTATCAAAGCAATGTTAATGTTGTTTCGTGTCAGCCAAATAGATATGATGGTGTACAAATAATGAACCTTTTTTGAAGTGGCAATATCATGAAGTTACTTCTTAAGCCCTAGGTTAGGGGAGAGTGAGTGTCGGACTTTATTGAGTAAAAGCCACCGCGTTCCTTCTCCTGCTCCAGGCCAGGGCCTTACATTATTGTGGTTGACCCGTAAACCCAGATAAATTATGACATTGAAAACATAATTTAATATCGTAATTAAGTAAGTATTGTGATAACGAACTAAATTAAAGAATAAAGAACAACAAATTTTTATTATAATTATCGTGAGACATTCTAAATGATTTTGTGTTTATTATGTTTCGGTTGACAGTAGGAGCGCGAGAGTCGCCGGGTCGCGTGTCGCGGATTGCTGCTCATGTATATGGGCCTCTAGCATGGCTTGAAACTAGTCGAGTATCTCGACAAATTATTAAGTGAGTAAACCGAAAACATAATAATGAACAACAAATTGTTAAAAATAATATTAAACGTGATTTAATCTAATCCAAGAAAACTTTAATAAAGCAATTTAACGTCGCATCTGTTATTTCCGCATACAATGGCAACATCTAATTTTTATAACACACCAACAATTTGAATACAGAAATAATCAGTTAAGTACAAAATTAAGTATATTTTATTAATTAATACAAAACAACAACAGCATTTTAAAGAGCCAATATATATTCTGGATGCTGGCCTGTGTCACCTGGAATTTGGTCGCCAATTTTGTAGTCATAGTACAATGTTACCCGTAACATATTTTGCAGACGCTTTTCGAGAGCAAGTTGCTTGTGTCGCGTGGCTGCGCCGGCGCAGGGGCGCGGGTGCCGGGCGGGGGCGGGGGCGGGGCGACACAGCCTTGAGGGTGTGCGCCGGACCGTTATGTGTGATTCAGATCGCTCGCGTGCCAATGCTATTACCAACATATTCATACATTGCCTCCGCTTACATGTTCAGTAAAAACCCGCCGCCTACCTAGTGCTCATGACTCCCAAAAATTCGAAGAACTTTTACGCACAGCACTCACGTATGATGTATTTATTAAAGCTTTTATGAAATACAGGAACTCGTTTCTTGAATGTAATGTAGGCCCCTTATACTCAGTTATTAAAACAACGAACTTGATATTCGGTTTTACTTGCAAAAATTTGACGTAAACATTAATAAAGTAGTGGTAACCATGATTCCTTGGTTGGGTGTCGTGCCTTGTCACTAACAATGATATACATATATCAGTACTCGTGTATAATGGACAGTAATTATGTGTTCGCGGGTCACAGGTAGATCGCGTGCCGCTATCGCCAGATTACGTTATCGGCCGCGCCGCGTGACACAACACTCCGCGGCCCGACGACGTTCTGACTCATTCTGTCTTCGAAATATCATCCAAAGGGAAATAATGTGTTGCAATACCCAAATATTTATATGATTAACTTACAGATCTAAATATAAATGATTAGCTAGTCTGCATAATGTAGGTGACCGATTTCAAGCGATTACTGTCTCTAGATTAAAGTGAAAATACCTCAAACATAGGCTCGCGGCTCATATTACAATTACAGGAAATAGATAATAATTGGATATAAATAGAGAAAAGATAGGACTTGCATATATACGTCTACATAAGTATTGGTAGTTGCATATACATACATGTGTACACACGGGACGGTGTAGCAGCGTAGCGATGGCTACGGGCGCTTGCTACGCCGCGGCCGCTACGAATCAGCTGTGCAGCGCATCATCGCTCTCCCGGTGAATGTACCTAGAATCTATCCTACCTACTTTTGTTTTCAGATTGTCAGTTATTGTTGTAGTTAGTATAGGTCACACTGGTACATAGAACAGTGTTTGATGACGGACCATACATAATATACGTCCGAAGCATTGTTTGCAGCTTGCAGTAAATCCCCGCCGCTATCTGTTACAAGATCGATGCGAGCAAATTGTTTGTCCAGCTCGTTGACACAATGGCGCAGTGCTTACCTCGCACGCTTCTAAATATTTGTGCGATGTTACAACATAAACATTAGTTGTTACATTAAAACGCAACGATTCATCCATTCATACATTCACACGATACATACATACATCATCTACAGATTAAATAGACATGTACGCGGTAACCTTTTCCAAAATTATATTTTTTGCGTCTATGGCTGTGGCTTGATATTCGATAGAAAATAATACTAATACAGATAATGCGGCAGTAAATTTAGTGTTAGTGCGGTTTAATGAATAATCGATGACGTCGATCAGTTCTGCGCTTGCGCAGGAGACTGGTCAACGCATGCTGGTACCGGCGCGGAGGCTGGCACCGCGCACTTACACAGGCACAGGATGTAGGAATATACCACTACCGGGAAACAAATTGACAGCTTATTTCTTCTTCTATTATATATATTAACGAAGATGATACGTTAACTTTGTTTATAAAGACATTCCTATTAACTCTGCCGCTAGTTTTCCTTCGAGTATGCTACAGGTACCACGGGTATTTGTAAAGCAAGCGCAATAAGGAATCGCGGCCTCAGCCCGGAGCGGGAGAAGGAACGGAGGAGTTTTCAATCAGTAAGAATCTGACAGTCCCTCTCGCCTCACCCTGGGCGAGAGACGACATTTGATGTTTTCTCCTCACAAAAAAAGGCGTGCGGGTGATGGAGCGACAGCGAAAGTAGAAATGATGCTCTGGCTGGCCACTGCCAGGACATGCAGGCGATGGCAATGACATACAATTACTTTAAATATTGACCGAAGCGAGGATGCTGTGAAGTTGTGGTTTGCGGCTTGTCTGTTAATGAAATAAAGTAGGAAACTGTGCTACGCGGCCTGAGCCACTGCTGACAAAGTCCTTGTTGTGATCGCATCTCTGTTTGTACGCTTTCTCTTTCTTTGAGTGGATACTTACACCGGAGCGTCGATTATTTCGATTTCGTTTCACCTTTAGACATAGGGGAGCTTAATCTAGGTTTGATTGTGAACTAACGTGTCTGGGTATGCTGTAAGCACGACTTCATGGAAGTTTAGAAAACATTTATGAATAGAAGTTTCTTGTGCACTTCAATGTTGAACGAATTGAGCTGGAGTATTGATATTATAAGCCTATTAGTGCTCGCACAGGCAGTGTGAGGAGTGACACGTGTGCGGTGGCGGGGCGGGACGTTGTTTGCTCTCCCTGTGACTTGCTGAAGAAAGCTACAAACACAATATTTTGCGGTTAATTGTGTAAACCTCGTGGACCGCAGCTCCACCTTTGTTGGGACAAGTATTCATTACAGCCACTAATAACTCGCATCGCGGCAGATAATGACCCAGCGCCTACATCCGGCTACTGTTTGTAAACCTTTCACTGATCTACTTCTCTATTTAGTTTTGAGACCCTCGAAGCACCTGGGTGTGCAAAGGAAGGTACTAAATTCAAATTTTCGAAAATTGGAAATCGGTTTTAAAATATTTTAAAATTAGCTCTCAAATAGTCTCAATGAATAGTTTAAAAATCTTATTGTAAAGTAACTTCTTATTTCAACTTTAATTGGTTTTTTACTTATGCTTCCCCAGCTTAACTAATCTTTTAAATGTTTTCAAATTATGAAATAATAATTCAAATATTTGTATCTAGTGAGTATTCAATGGTTTTCCTTCGCTTGTCCTTGTGAGCTCAAATTATAACGGTATATAGAACTGACTCATATCAACTAACAAAAAAAACTTAATTTATATTCAGTTTCGCACGAGGAAAAATAGTACTATTACTTTATAGATATACATAACTAAAATTAGGTAATGGTACGTTTAGAGACGCCACATATAAGAAATAAACAAATTTATCAATGCTTGTCGTTAAAATATTTAAACGTTATTTAATGTTGGACGAAGACACGACGTGTGCCTTTGAAAAGGATTTCTAATATAAAAAAATCCTTATCCT